ATGGAAAGGTGTCTTCGTTGGCACCTGACTTTTCCATGTCCCAGGAGCCCCCTGCTGAAATGAAAATTCGCAGCACATGCGTTATGTTTGGAGAGTGACTGACCTCCCTAAGTCCATGAACGAGGACCGTTCCCACCCACACTCACGCACACACAGACACGCACATGCACACAGAGACACAAACCCATCATACATACTCACACAGAGACACACAAAGCGACACACACACGCACAAAGACACCGACTTGCAGTTAGGCTTGTTGGAATCGGGGAATCTAAAAAATTCCCGAGAAGTTTTGCCTTCGGGGATTCGTAAAAATCCCGGGAATTTTAGATGCAGAAGGACAAAATATCCTGGAGATTTTCTGGAATACCCGCTCTTGCATCCATGCAAGGCCACAAGGCCGGCAAAAGGAGGCAGGACATCCAATGAGGTGCCCGCACAAGCAAAACACAGCCGGGCCTGTAACCTTTTATCAGGGTATATTCAATTCCATATTCCATTATCTAAAAAATAAGGAATCAAAATCAATTAGAAGAGCCAATATATTCCGAATAAACTACCTGTTCAATTGCATATTAAATATGTTGTTTAGATATAATTTGACATTAAATAAATTAATAGATATCAAATACTTAGAAACTTATTGTTATTAGTATTCTCTATATATATATATATTATAAGTATATATTCTATCATATGCTAAGCATCCGTATATTAATATGTATATTTCTCGTTTATGCTTTCTTACTAGAATATTATATATATATATGTATTAGTTTCCATTCTTAATATTATATGTCATCTTATTTTCATATCAACGATCTCTAAATATATTCTCAAACTGAGAGATGCAAAATCTCTTCCGGAGTTTTATGTCGGAAAGCCAAGATAGCTGTAATGTTTTCTTCATAGTTGGAAAGTATCTCTTTTCATTTTCCGCACCTATCGTGGCACACGTGCTGCTCATGCATAGCGGTCAACATTGCTTTCCAGGAAGCCATGCAGTGCGCCTGTGCTCTCTCGTGATGGTAGGAAAAGCCATCCGAATGCTGTGACAAGCTGATCCACCACCAAGCCCAGAGGCCTAGCCGCCACAAATGTCTGAAGCATGAGCATAACAAACTGAGATAAACAGCACCAACCCACCACTCTCTGTCGCCTTCCAACAACCTCAAAGCGATCTTCAACCCAATGTAACACTCGAGACTCGGATTCGCACTGTGTTCTCCGGTGATTCTTTTGAAGGTGGCACGGTCCATGGACAACAAGCACACCTTGCGGCGTGTCGCTGAATCCAGCTTGCATCACAAATGTCGAATGGCTTCCCTGAGTTCTTCGTTGTTGCCTTTGTTCGAACAATGCCAGCCTTCTCTTCATATGATTGGACTTCTTACCCTGAGCGCTAGAGCAAGGCAAATCACTGAGGCCACTGATGATAGTGACAATGACGGTGATGACCATCATCATTATCGTCATGTTCCATGGCGATGACTCGATGACCGACAACGATACATACAGCGAGTATGATGCAAATGGCGGTGAGGACGATGGTGTGACGATGGTTATGTTCGTGAGCAATAATATGCATCTGAGCGCTCATATGACAACATAGGAAACGCTTGCGATGATGGTGCCGACGATGATGCGGATGATGGCGCTTGCGAGGAAGGTGGTGTTCATTATCATTACGATGATGCCTCTCTTTGTGCAAGCTTCACCACGAACTCAATGAACAGCGTGGTTCACAGCCCAAGGCTCCAAGCGCAGATGACACTCCAACTGCCGGCTCCAGCGTCGACAATGGAAATGAGGGTGAAGGGATGGATAGGAACTTCGTCGGGTTCTGCAAAGTCTTTCCGTGCTGAACGGGATGTGCGACGCGTCTCAGAATCACTAGGCCATAACGATCTTGACCATGGCATTTCGTAAGCCAGGGGAATGCTGTGTGTGGACCAACAGTTTCTGCAGTGGCTGCGATGTCCATCTGTGTTCGACTTGCTCTTCGTCAACATCATCGACTACCACCATGCGGAGCAACCATCATCCTTGTCCTCGCTGTCCTCATCAAAGCCCTCTGTCCGAGGCCCTAAACGACCCAGCCCTAGGCCTAAAGTCCCGAAGCACACCTTTCAATCCGAAACCTTGGCATTTTGAGGCCTCCGGGTCGCTGCTGGCTACCACCGTAGCAGCTCGAGGCTCCTTTCGCCCACTTGTGCCATGAGTGTTTCCAGGCTTTGGGTTTCGGGCTTGGGGGTTTGGGAGACTTGAGGGGTTCAGGTTAGGGCTGCGAGTTGAGTGCTGCAGACACTGCGTGCATCCACACGAAAACCTTCCATCCATAATGTGTTTTTTTGCCTGGGATTCTAGCATTCCAGTTCAGGCCCTTTGCCACTCAAGCTAGCTTCTTTAAGGTTGAACGTTACCGAATGGTGCCTCAAGGATGAGCGCGAGCTCGCCAAAGTAGTCACCAGCCTGCGAGGCTGTTGCGACAAGTTGCCGGCATCCTAACATTAGTTATCTTCTGCCTACCGCAGAGCGAACTTGGTAGATCATAAATGTCATGGAACAGAAAGAAATCTGGGCTTTGATGACGGTCAGAACGGTCGTGGCTGCAACAAGCGCAAATACCGCCAGGCTTAAAGGGAGACAGCAGTGCGTGCGGGCCTTGCATACCTAACTGGATCGTGCTCCTACTTGACAATCCAGTTCCTGGACGCTTGATTTCCGGTGGTACTGGGCGAAGGCAGAGGCACTGGAGGCGCTGAGACCATCCAAAGGCTCGTCACCACTGAATGATTTTGACCTATGTCCGATGGCGGATTGAATAGAATGAACAGAAGCACTGACAAGACCGGGCTTCAACATAGGCAGTCCTGAAAACTGAATACTGGTCCTCCTGATAATATGCCGTCTTCGACACATCCTTTTCAATTTTCTGTGACATTCGCGCAATGCGGCAAGGACCACCCATACGTGCCTTCAACTAAGCCACGAGCACAACACATACGACAAGCAACATGCCAGGTACGACGGCAACGACAAACAGTCATGATGCAAACCGTTATTGCTGCAGCTGATGTTGCCGCCAAAGCTATGAGCACAGTCAGAAAAATGCTTGCGGCGACGCCTCATGGATCATCATCACGGGCTCTGGGGATTCTTCCGTGATTTTGGAGGCCATGACCTCACCGCATGCATTGCATCTTGTCAGCAATCTGGGTGCTCGACAGGGTTCTCAATTGGTACCTCCAGCAGTAGCCCGTGATTCCCAACAAACAAGGACTGACAAGGACCTACCGGTAGGAGCCCCAGCCCTGCAGACTAAAAGATTCCTACAGTCAATAAACACATCGCTCACCTTCCTCACCGGAAGGTATGCATGAAGCTACATTTCTGCAATCCTGACCGGTCCAACCTGACCCTCGTAGACAATGTAGAAGTGATCGCCGACTTCGCCTGCCGTGACTGAGCGCCGGCGCCGGGACAAAACATGGCACGAGTCCGACAAGTAGTATGAGATGAGATGGTACGCAAGCCTCACACACTCCACACCTGCCCGCCTTGACTGATGATGACGTCGCCTAGGCTCGCTGGCCGGGGAAATGCACTCTTGAGAGTTCCAAGGCCTGAAGTGCCCCAGGGCCGGGACCCCTTGGCCGCCTCTCCATCTTCAAGGCGTCGATGATGTTTTCCAACTGGCCAATAGAAGCTTAGCTGCTTTTATGATGTACCACACTATACTGTACTATAATCAAATCTAATCTGCTTTAGCTCTCATGAGACAAACACAGGCCTCCCCGCGCGTGATGCTGGAAAACAATGGCACGGAGGAGAGGACTGAAAGGCACCTGAGCTGCAGAGACCCGTTGTGTACAGAGGTCAAAAGACGGAAAGAGTTAGGGCACAGGAGTCATCAAAGCACGAGGTCGCAAAGGCAAAAGCATTGCTTCTCAGCAAGATCATAACCCAGGAAACAACTCAGGCAACGGCTGGTTTCGCTTTCGCTGGACTCCTTGCTACTTTCAAGTCCGGCTGAACTTCCCCAGATTAGGTGGGTGTAGTTGAAGCGCGATCCGCACGATTATGTCTCCGGCGGTCCTTCCATGACGATGTTGTTGAAGGTCGCGCGGTCCAGCTCCCAGAGCACCGCAGGCTGGCGTGGACACTCTGCTTCTGTGCTCATCCAACTGCCAACAACTAAATTTCACACAACCCATCCAAAGTGCACCAGGCAACAGGAATCAAAACCTTGTTCCACATGCAAAGTTGAAAAACCATCACGCTGACCTCGCGGCATTGGACGCTCGCCGCTCTGGGACAATTATACAGAAGCGCCTGAGAAGCTTGTGGGCACCATTGAGTTTGAATGAGCTTGGGATCAGTTTCCGGTCGAAGCAAGATCCCTAGCAAATTTGAACGGAGACAGCTTAGATGAGTCAAAAGCCTCGACTGTCAAGATTTTACCCATTACGAAGACGGGTGCAGATCACTGAACCGCACCGATCGGTGCGACAAAACCCGATCATGAGAGTAAAACATAAGTGCGTCGGGGCACAAGCTCCCCAAAGAGGTCTCCCTTGACACAGGTCTTGACAACCTGGGCTCAGATGATTGATCTTTGTCCGTCCAGAAAACAGCTGGAGTTGGAAACGGACCGATACAAAGCTCAAGCTAGGAAAGGAGTTTCTCATCTGTCACGCAGTCTTAGATTCACGTTCAGGGTGAGCTTCGATCCACCTCTAATGCACACAGAAGCGACCATCTCGACACCGTCGATGACCTTGACGCAGTCCATAGACCCGTCCTCTCCAGCACAAGAGCCCCTCTTCGAAAGGAGATGCAATTCACCGAGAGAAAAAGAATACTCTTGAGGAGAGCAAAGCAGCGACATTCAGAGATGACCCCCGGGGCTATCTCAGGCCTGGTGCCGAGATGCCCTGAGACCTTGCTAAAGCTTTCTCAGCCCTCTTTTGGTTGGGACGGTCCGTGACGACGTACAGATGGTCCCCCGTGTCACCCTCTTGGATGATTCGGTGGCCTGGCGCGCACCGTGTCGTCAAAGTCTCCACTCAAGCTCTGCAACCAAGTGTTGCACATGGCAGGTCGATTCTCCCAGACAAGGAAGGAACATCGTGCTTTGCATGTCGCGACAGTTTCATGAAACAAACAATGTCACCGAAATCCCTTCGAAATGCCCTCACTATCACCACAGCTCCAACCTGACTCTAAAATCAGCGGGCCCTTCATGGCAGCGATGACAACCTCAAGGATGAGGCTGTGTCTAACACACTACCACTACCGTCGGCGTCATCAAAAACACCACTTCGGCTGCGTGAATGTAGGATCTTGGATCGGATGTTGCAGGCATCTGCATACACTCAAAATCTTGCTCACAATCTTGAACCCGAGCGACCGTTCGCCCCCTGTCACTCTGACACAACTCAGACTCATCAAGCGCAGGCATTAACTTTGCCCAGGCTTCCCACGCGAAGATCCTTCTCTTCAAGAGACGTGAATAAGAAGGATTGTGCGGTCACCTCCGGTGGCTGATTAGCGCAGTGGACCTAAGCCACTTCAAAAGACAAGACGCCTCAAAAGACACTGTGACACAACAGAAGAATCTTTACAAGACGGCAGATGTATTGCCGCTTGCACACGTTCATAGCACAACGGTAGACAATGCTCGCTTTGTGTCTGCGCTCGCAACAGCAGTGCTCAGAGCTTCAAATGATTCTCAACGCGCAACTAACGCTGCCCAAACCTGCACAGAACTAAATTAGTCTGCTGCTGCAGACTTCTTGGGCTTACAACTTATGACCCACCCTAACCCTGAACCCTAAACCCCCACGTCCAAAGAAGCATAGCAACCGGCCCTGCGTCCACCCTTTCTTGAGCGGAACGCGGCTTGCCTCAACGAGCTCCTGCGTCTGGTCTGGCCTGGGCACAGGTGGGGGGAAGATACTTTAACATGCTATACTGTTCTAAGATATACTATACTACATCGGGGAGTATACTATACTATACTATACTATACTATACGACGCTATACCACACTATACAAAAATATTATACAATATAACATAATACCGCGGTAGGAAGAAAGTTCGTCGTACTCCTGCATGTTGCTCTTGAAGACCTTGCAACCCCCTCTGGCCTTTTGACTCCTCCACCCAGTCCTCCGTCCGGAACCTCATAGTTGTATAATTTAACTCCGGTGGGTTAATTCCTCCGATAGCCAGGCCAAATAAAACTTTAAAATGCAATTGTCGGTACTCCGCGTCCTCTGCATAAAGGTATAAGCAAGGGCGACAAAACTTTGTTCCTGCCGAAATATATAACCTAACATAATATAATACAATATACATTCATTTACGATTATACTCCTCCACCCTGAACCCTAGAAACCCGAAATCCGTAACTGTCAAGCCCCCAACCCTAAAACCCCAGACGGCCAACCCTTGACACATCCCTAAACATCCCGAGACTGCAGACTTCTGAAGCTGTTGGGGGTTCCACGTTTTCGGATAGACCGCGGGCTCGAAGATAACCCGCTGATTCCTCGGCAACAAGGGTTGAGCGGCTTCTTGAGGGGTTCCGGAAGTTTAGGGGCATTGTACAGTAGGGCGCAGCGATGCGATCCAGCCGACACGCAGGCCCAGCCCACAATCTTTCCGGGTCTTCTGATCGTATCTTTCTCGCACACGGTCGAACTGCCATTCAGAGCAAGCGGCCTTTAAAGACGTTACTGTCTAAAGTTTCCGAGGTGAGGCGCTAAAGATCATGCCCTCAGCATGCTGGCCAACTGCAGCGTAAGGTGTAAGGTGGCGACCACTCGCCGAAAGCTTCTGCAGACACACTCTGCCTCTGAGTTCGGACCTTGGAGAGCCGGGTATGAAAGAACACAGGCGATAAGGACATAAGGGCTGCCAGGTACAGGCTAGCACCTTGCTAACGCTTTATCATCGGTTTGTTTCGAAATGCGTCATCGTGAGCAGCATCTACATACGTTTAAGCGGTCTGGGGTAACACGCCTACCAAAAGAAAGCTAGCAACTGCAATAGGGAACAGCAGCTATGTCGAAGGTCTCGAGACCCAGGCTGCAGCGATCCTGGAGTTCATTTCTAGGTAAGGTCAAGGCCTTCGGCGGAGGAGGAAGTGGCACAAACTCGGGCTCCTCAGTCTCATCTTCTTCTGTGTCCTCGGTACAACACCGGATGAGTGTGTGTCGCCTGCCATGGCCCACCCGGGATGCCGGACCGTGTCTGCCATGGCAGTGGTGGCACCAAGGCTAGACCAGAGATGGAGTAACTGCTCTTCTCGTGAATAAACGGTAGTTGCTGACCGACTTCCGGGAGTGAAGGGGTGGTGCTTCAGGCATCTTCGGGCTGTGGGTGGCTTTTGTCTGTGTTAAACTTACCTTCCGTTGCATGGCAGGTTGTAGTAATAACGATCTGCATCAATGCCTTTGGAGGCTTGCGGCTGTGGCTGTCCGCTGGAATCTTCAAGGTGCAGATGCCACAGAGCAGAGAGTCGATTGCTGCCAGTTCCAACTGTGCGGCAATTTCGAATCGACGGATGGGCCATGCAACTGAGGAAGAAGCGGAAAAATCGAAAAATGCCACACAAATTCTGGCAAGCGGCTAGCAAAAACGATCTATTGTCGTGCTAGACACTTCTCTTGCACTCCACAGTGAACAGACCGCCCTCCGGTCCATCCATAGCCGCCTGCCCTTGCAGAACCTGGGGCCCGCCTCCGGACTCTTGCAAATCTGTAATCTGTTGAAAACTCGGCATGGTACCAGCAAGATAGCCGAGGGGGGCTTTACGACAAGCGTCGGGCGAATTCGCATTAACAGCACAGCAGGATGCACGAAATGCTCCTCAACAACTGCAGAATTGCAAGCACACAACCAGGCATCCAGCACTGAACCTGAGGGAGCTTTCGATCAAGAGCACTTTGCACATTGATCGCTGGAAAATCATACAAGGCCGAGACGGTGACATCAGATGAGCGCACAGAGCGCACTGCACGGAAGGTCTGAGGAAAAGAAAGGCTCAACTTGCCACGGTCCCCTTCTGCAGCTCCAGAGGAAGAGCTGACCTGGGAAAGAGCCGAATCTGCCAGGAAGCAACGAAGCTGCAATGCTGGGCGCATGGCTCAATGGTGTTTCGCAGGTTAAGTAGGAGTTCTTTGTCCGGTGTCTCCTGGACTTCCTCGCATACAGACGAAGCCACGTCAACTGACATTCTGTCTGAAATTCCCAGGGTAGACAGTCGCAGCCAACCCCGCATACCTAAGAGCATCGTCATGATAGACTGCCCCACATGCCGAGCACATCCTGAGACATATTGCGCCTCGGCCGAAACTGCCGGGTGCACGATCACCTGCACCTGCAATCAATGCGAATAGCAGGCCCGAGGCAGCACGATTGCGTGCTCACGTCGTGACTTTGAAAACGTGGGCTTTGCAAGACGGTCTAGGGCATGGGCTCCAGCACGGTTGTGGTAGAGAAAGAACTCCTGGTGCTATCGGAAACATTCTGACAATCGCCAGCTGCGGAGGCCCAGGAAGTCCTTCTTGCTGGGCATCAAACGGCCAGTTCCCAGGATAGTCACCGGGACAATAGGCACCTTTGCCCTCTTAGCCATCGAGACCGGACCTGAGGAGCGACGATTTCTTTCCTAAGGCTTTGGGATGCTCCGGGATCGGCACCCTTCTTGAATTCAAGGAGTGCTCCGTCGGGACTCCGTGCACCCTGCCGGACATTCAGGGAGCCTCTTCGCCACTGCATGTCAGTTTACGCAAACGCTGCACATACGTAAACGAGAGAGAGAGAGAGAGAGAGAGAGAGAGAGAGAGCGAGCGAAAGCGAGCGAAAGCGAGCGAGCGAGGCAGACCGAGAGACCGAGAACCGAGACAGACATCGTAGATGAAATAAGGACAAATCCAGGCAGAAAGACAAAAGTGAGACGGAGACACGGAGCACGGAGACAGAGACGGAGTGATAAACATGGACGAGACACGTCAAGAAGAGAAGAAGCATGATAGACTGAGATCGAGTCAGAAACTTGTCTTCTTCTAGCCGTGCCCGCCTCCGGAAAGATGAAAATGGAGGCGCCCTGGTGCATGTCAAGAAGTCCCATTGCATGTGCTCATCAGGTCCGTTCAGGCGGCGTGTCCGACGCATCACCCTCTGGCTGCCATCCGCAACATGACACGGCATGGATAGATGACTCTTCTGAGGGGTACTTGCCGAAATCTCTGAGCATATGAACATCGAAACTACGATTTATTCCAAACTGGTATTGCACACGGCGATGCCTCCTGCAATGTCGACACGCATTGCCGAAACGTTGCCATCTGGGACCTATCAATTTAAAAAGCAGCTCTAGGAAGGAGGAGCCATCTGGACGAAGTCCAACAGTGAGTGGACATTGACGACAGTGGGTACCAGAGAATCAAAATTAATTTCAACCGTATCAGACGCGGTTTATGAGACTTCTGTGAGAGCTTTTCGACCATCTTTGTCTGTTCTTCTAGCGCACTTCTGGTGGACGAATGCTGCTGGACTGCTAGACTGGATAGGGAATCTTGGTCAACATGCGCGAAAAAATTGCCTCAGATTCTTCTTCCGCATTGCCAGGATTGCACCGTCATCATTATGCTCATGATCTGATGCACCAGGAATATTGAGCATGTATGAAATTTGCCGCCCGCTTTCCCCTTCGATCTTGTCAAACAAATTATATATATATATATGTATACACAAAGACATGCATACATGCATACCTACCTTCCTACCTACCTACCTACCTACCTACCTACCTACATAATACCTACATACCTACATACATACATACATACATACATCCATACATCCATATATCCATACATACATAAATCCATCCACCCATCTATACGTACATACATACATACATACCTACCTACCTACCTACCTCCCTCCCTCCCTCCCTCCCTCCCTCCCTCCCTACCTACCTACCTACCTACCTACCTACCTACCTACCTACCTAGCTACCTAGCTACCTAGCTACCTAGCTACCTAGCTACCTACCTACCGACCTAGCTACCCAACTATCTTTCTATATCTGCCT